CAAGTTTTTCTTTAAATTGACTCTATTGATGGACATTTGCTTCAGTAACATTATACTTCCTTCTCACTTCACAATTATTTGTTTTGTCAACATAATTTATAATCTCCATTTTAAAGTTTGTATCATACCTGCATCTCATTCCTTTTGGTATCTTCCTGTACTTTTCTCTTACTGGGCAGCTTTCATTTTTTTCCTCAGCAAGCCTTTACTTTTTCACAGAGCCCATCCAAAATCATGGTTTCAGCAAAAATCATGCAATCACGATTTTGGTAGGCCCCTAACAATGAAGGTAGGTGTTACTTGAATTTTGAGAGTTCAGGCACTGTTTCACCGATCACTTGACAGAGTTCTTTGTATTCCTCCTTTAGTTTTCCTTATTGCAAAAATCCTGATGAGTGGTTTCTACTCAGACAGCAAGATTTTTTGAAAGCTTGCACTTAATAATACAGTTTCTCCCTCCTTTAGCTCTGAGTTTTTGAAAAAGTTATTTTTTACTAACCAAACCAAGCTCATTGCAGAGACTCTCTAGTTACTAAAATGAATGAGAGATTGTACATGAAGAAAAAAGCTGCAGCCCTTCTTTTAATAGAATTGTGAAGCCAAGCATTACATCTGAATGACAGCTTGGGTAGAAGTATGAAGGTGTTTGTATTCATCTCCTGTACTTGAAGCTTCCACTAGTTGGCCTCCAAGGAATCGTCCTTGCACAACATAAAATTGCTGCTACTGGCAGAAATAAAAAAAACACTGTCTGCCTTACCCAAATGAGGTGTTGATCTTTCATCACCAGGCTCCCTTGGAAGTGCAAATCACTTCTCTGAGTGTCAGAGGGGAAGAATCTAACCCTGTGAACATTATACTTTTCCATCTACTTGTAACTCAAGAATAACTTGCTACAGAAATCCTAAAAATTTATTTCACACACAACTCTTCAAGGAGAACTGAATCTTTTGAGCATTTTTTTTCTGGCACTGACACCTATTCCACTGGGGACTCCACTCAAATGACAATTTTCTCTTTCCGATGAGGCTATTAAACAACTATCATTGTGGACAAGTGATGGCCTTGAGGTGTGATGCTCCGAAGAAGAAAGATACTGGGCTGATTTAAATACCTAGAACAATACATCTCATAATTATACTTCTTTAATTACTCACTTGCAACTACTGGTTCTGGTTCTGATTGTCTGAAATAAAAAGTAACTTTTTCCAGATCAAATAATGCAACCAATGTATCTTCTAGCATGGCTTGTTCATCCGTCTGAAAAAGGGAAAGAAAAAAAAAATGTCTCAAAAATTATGCAGTTTCAGTTTAGTGCTTATACTGGAAATTATGGAATACAGGCATCAAAAATAACTGCAGGATGTCACACCCTGTTTTGCTGAAACACTGTTTAACATAATTAATTCCTAAGTGACAGAAAACAGATTTGTTTCTACTGGGTAGCTACTTCCTCTTCTATTGGCAAAGGGTGATTAACATTAAAATTATTTAACTTGAAATTAATATATATTGCACACTGTAAATCAGTAAGTTAATTTACAGCTACCATGTCTTCCAATGGTATTTAATTAAACTGCATTTGAAATTTTTGTTTATGCAAATAAGCAAGCTTGAAAATGTTCTGTGTGCTGCCAAGCCTATATTTTCAACTTTTTACACTGTGACAGAAAACTAAGACTTCTACTTATGAACACACGTGGAGAAAAAAAAATTCAGAACCAGCATTTCATTGACATACTGGGCTAGATTTTCAAAACTTCCACTCTGTTCCCATAAAAGCACTGCCAGCTTAAATAAGGTTCCAGATGAAAGCAACTTTCAGCTTCAGCTCCCATACTGTGGATATAAATCATGAGGCAAGACATGCCAACATTTCGATTTTCACTTGCAGTTCATGTCTGTGATCCCTCATATTCAAATCAAAACAATGAAAAACCTTAACCTTGAAATTTTAACTAGTGCCTCATGACAGCTTCAAAAATTAAACTATGAACCTTCAAGAGCACTTTACTGAACTTCTGCTAAGAAGGGAAGTACTCGCCTTCAAATATAGCGACAGAAGAAATCAATACACTGGTAAAGCAATGGGGAACGTAATGTGAAGAATAGAATTATATTAAGCTACCAAGTAGGATAATGTAAAACTGATGCACATGTCATTTTCTCCCTAAGCACTGAAATCGTAACAAGATCAATACACTTATTATCTATAAAATGACAGTTAGCTGAATGTTCCTGAATTACAGAAAGGTAAAAAAAAAAAAAAAAAAAAAAAAACAGTTTCCCCAGGTCCCTGGAACTAAGCAGTATTTCTCATGTATTTATAGACAGAAGGATTCTACTTGAAACATTTTGCCTACTAGTTCAATTTATTAACTCCCTGGATACAGGACAATCAGATTGCATTCAGCAACATTGGAAATCCTTACAAAATTGCTCCTTCTTTATTGTATTTTACTGTAATAATGAGTATAACTCACTTCAAGAGCCCTTGCTTAAAGTAGCACAGTTCATTTATATCCAGAAAGATTGATTAGAAACTATTGAAAAAGTTGCCTTTATAATGGTTCCCTTAATATTATTGCTGAAAATATTATTGCTGAACTAACTCAAAACTCTTCATTTGTTCAAACATACTTATGAAACTAAGAGCTTCTCTAGACATGCAGATAAAGGCGTGGTAGGATCTGAGGCACAATTCACACAATTTCACCTCCTGCCGTGCCATACATGCATAACAGGCAGTATGACTGTGGGGTCTAGTATCAGATCCTATAACGCCTTATTGCTGATACAGGGGAAGCCTGGGATCCCCCTGCACTGGCAAGTAAAAAGCTTCTGCAACTGTGAGTCCCATAGCTAATGGGACTTGCAGCTGTGGTAGCATACCACCAAGAGACCCTGTGCAGGACTCTCCATCCCAGTTGTGCATAGTGTATCCCTGATGCTAGAAGCCCAGTCAGCTGATGGAGTTCTCAGCCACAGGGGCTACAAACCAGATATAAAATTAGTATACATTTTTTAGGTCTTTGGGTGCCTGTAGACATGCTGGGAGGCTGCTCCAATATGCAGTTAATCAAGTTTGCCGGAGGAACATGCTGGAGGGTCAAGAGCAAGTCTGCTGGTGTGCTAGTTAGCATGCACCAGCCTGCCTCTGTGTCTCGTATATCAGCGTCCCCCTGCCTCAAAATGGCAGCAGGACTGATTTAACTAAAGCTTGTTCATTCTGGAGCCCCTTTAATTAAAGTGCCCCCCCCCTTCCCCCACCCCCAGAGCACGTGTAAAGATGCTCTAACTTTATAGCTGGTTGGACCTTTTAGTTGCATCATAGATACCTTGCATGTATAGGTAGTCTCAATTAATTGTGCAATTAAACAGTTAATTATTCAATACCTATAACATGTAGGAGGGAGCCCAATGTTGACTCACATTTAAAAAATACAATCTGAACACATACTGCTTCTTTCTTATAGTGTCCAAGTACATTAAAATAATTAAACAACATGAATTTTTTATTACAAAGCAACAATCTCTTGTGTCCTGAAGCAAAAGTCAGAAGTCTGTGGGGTAGATATGGTAACAGCTATTTTGCAATACCACTAAAAAAACAAGAAGCATGGTAAAACATAACAGTAAATAAGCACCAGCAGGCCCCAAGGATTTACAGTAACAGAGAGACTACCTCACCAAACAGTGAGCCCTATTCTTAGGACCAGCCACTTGACACCTACCACCTTTTGAGTGGGGCATCAGAGAAAGTTGTAAGATAGTTTTAAAGCTCATAATAGCTATCAGATACCATATGGTTTGAGAAGCAACTTTTAAAATAACCCCAAAGAGGCATTTAGGCAGCTGTGCAGTAGCCCTGTGCGAAGCTGCTAGTATTTGCTTCAGATTCGGATTCAACCGATTCAGAGGACAGTGATTTGACTTGGTGATTCAAACCACTGTTCTGAATCAGCTTGGCCAAATCTGATTCAGAGATTTGGCCACTGCCAAATCGGCCAAATCTCTGAATCGGACAGGCCCCATCCCCTACCTGCTCTCCCAGCCCCACCAATGGCTACCCTGCCTGGCCTCCTGCTCCATGATCCCCACTGCTCCCCATTGCCCTGCACTGTGTGGGGGTGCTCTGCCACAAGTCTCTAGAGGCCCCGACAGCCACTGCACCATCCGGTGAGTGCAGGGCTTTTTTTTTGTTTGTTTTTTAAGTGCTGGGATGCTGGGGCTGGGTGGGGCAGCCAGTTACGGGGCTGGAAGAGTGGGCAGGAGTCAGGGGGCACTCAGAGGGGATGTGGAAGCAGGCAGGGGATGGGGTCTGGTGGGGGTCCCCCCATGATTCCCT